TGAAGTTTGTGGGAAAGGTGGGACAATCCCAGTAACGTTTTTTTGCTGCCATGTTTCGCGCAGTCTCGAGATCGATGGGACAGTGCTTCAGTAAAGCTTGAGCAGCGTATCCCACGAGTTTGTGAAAAAAATGAGGCGTCGAACTTTCCGAACGTTGCAAGAGACCAAAGTGCCGAGTTGCCTTCGATGCCCTTCAGTCTCTACCACAGACAGTCCAGCTCATCTTGCAACAGCAATCCTTGATCATGCCTGATTTGGTGTGTCTCTATAAATTTGAGAATAAACTATTTATTTATTTATTTAAATCTCTTTCATGAGAAAGACGCTGTAGCATTTGTGGCCCTAGCCGGTATAAGAGGTCTAATGACGTGCTCGAAGTGCCTGTATAGAGTTTAGACCTAATAGTAGAACCTAGCGCGTTGCACCTTAGCAAACTCGTGTGGCCAACATATCACGAGGTAAAACATTGGGTCCCCTTCAGCCACTTGATCAAAGCAGAAAGAAGACATAGATTGTGATATGTCAAAATTTCCATTGTTCTCTTCAGTGGCATACACAATACAAGCAGAAATCATATACAAATATATACATGGGAAAAATTGACACACCAATCAAGATCAAAACCAAGGCAATCTGATTGATTGCCGGCTCGTACGCGAATGAAAACAGTTCGCAGTCTACAGGGTTCGTTTACAAGGGCTACACATGTTTCCCTATTGATTGCTCGAAGCACGTATATAATCTATCATCTGCTCAGTTCAGTCGCCCGCAGTTCTAAGTGCTTTCGCTTGGAATGAAATATCGGTTGCCACCAAAGACGATAGACAGTCTGAGCACGCAGGCTCAGTTTGAATATCTGTATGACCAGCTCAGTGATCTCTCGCCAAGATCTATAGAAGATGCGGGCTGGTTTCTGGGAAATATTGGTGGGTATCGCGAACCAATTCCTTAATACTCCAATAAGCCAGAGATGTTGCTTGAAGGCTGAACACTATGCCGCGATCAGAGAGTTAAAAGAAATGGCACACGTAATTTTCGTGCAGCCAGACAAAGGATCAGGCATTGTAATAATGAACAAGAATGACTACGTTTCAAAAATGGATTCTATCTTGGAGGATAAACGTAAGTTCCTGATAGACGCGACACCACAGAATAGCTGGAGAAGCAGGTGGCCAGAAAACTCCAGATCCTTTTACTGCAGGGATACATCAATGAGTCGCAGTACAGGCAGCTAAAACCGACTGGGACGCAGACACCGAGAATGAGGGGTGCGCCTAAGATACACAAGCCAGGTAACCCACTGCGTCCAATTATGTGCATGAACAACTCGCCTTATCACAACGTTGCCCGGTTACTGGCGAAACTCTTAGATCCCGCGCGTAAACTCTTGGCTGCGTACTGCCTGAAAGATTCATTTGCACTAGCGGAGACGCTAGAACAATTCTCACTGGGTTCGGAAGTAATGTACTCTATTGACGTGGACTCACTATCCACAAATCTGCCACTTCAAGAAACAGTTGATGATTTGTGTCATTTCATCCTGATTCAAAACATTTATGTGGGTCTCCGTGTGGAATATTGGCGAAATATGATACTACTGTGTACAGAGCACGTACGTTTTGAGTTTGAGGGGACGGCATATAAGCAGATCGACGGGGTCGCCATTGACAGCCATCTGAGACCGGTTTTGACAGATATCTTTCTCGACTTGATCGAAAGGCAAGTCGCTGGCAGTATTAATGAAGCAAGATTATACAAAACGTATGTGGATGACATTCTGGTGTCCAACAACAGCGAACCACTTCTAAATTCAATTCATCCCAAATTCTGATAAGGCTTTCATCCCAATAGTTCACAAGCTAGAGAGCAGAGCCTAGTCCGGAAAAGCGCCAGACGCGTTTCGCCCTATTGCGGCTCGTCAGTGGCGCGCATTCTCTCGGTCCTCCAAGGAGGATCGAACCCATGAACGCCAGAGGCAGATGCCAACTAGCCAGCAGCTTAAGCCACTGAACCATGGAGGACGTTAGCTGGGCTACATAATTTGCAAATTAACTGGGATATAGCACCACCTATCTACCACTGTCACCGATAGTAGTTAGTCTGCTAGGTGATTATCGGTCCACCACAAGATGGAACAACACGGCTGTCTGGCATTTTTGGATATCCTCATTAAGTCATGGGACGAAGATACATTGCAGCGCACCGTTTACCGCAGGGCAACCTAGAGTGGGCAGTACCTTCACTTTTCCAGTTTCGCCCCGGTTGCATACAAACGCGACCTAGTGAAAACGCTGTTCTACAGGACCAGACGAATTTGTAGTCCGGATACGCTGGAAGCCGAAGAGAAGTTTCTGCATAGGACCTTGGTGTCAGATGGTTATCCTGAAAAGTTCATCCAAGTGCAAAGCAGACTCCCTAAAAAGAAACTGCCGGTGCTAACAGGAGGGAAAAAAGCAATTTATCTGTTTCTGCCCTTCAAGGGAGACCAAGTGGCAAATGTGATCGGACACAAGCTCAGATCCACCCTGACGCGCAGGTACAAGACTGCCCAGTTGTGCCTCATGCACACTAATCGGAAACTTGTTCTTCATGACCGCCAGGACTATTCCTCAGCTAGTTCGCCCTTTCAAGTGGTTTATCAGTTCACCTGCAGTTGCAGTGACGTTTACATAGGCAGGACTAACCGTCGGTTGGCTCAAACGGTGGCTGAACACTTGCCAAAGTGGGTGGAACAAATGATGACACAACAAGCTGGATGAACCGGATTCCGTCATCATCTATCGCCAAGCACCTTGGGACAACCGGATACAATGTGGACCCGAAGACTGCGTTCAAAGTGCTATTACGTAACTGGAATCCGATAAGGTTGGCAATCAGTGAAACGTTGCAACATAAGGCCTATCAACCTGTGTTATGGGCACAGAAACTCTTGAGGCAATAAATCAGATTGCCCTGGTCTTGATTTTGACGTTCCAACTTCAGTTCAGTGTAATTACGTTAAACAACAGTTTGGTTCAGTTCACTTTGACAACTATGACACAGGGACCGAAGTGCGGTGGTCCCAGTTGCCACGCGATTCCCATGCCAGATTCAGAAAGTGAGATCCGGAAAAGGAGGTTGAAGGCAAATACAAAGAAAATGGATTCGAGAAAGAAGTGCATTACAGTAATCGGGATAGAATGAAAATTAGCAGCCAGATGCGAGAAACCGAATACAGGAACGCCACTGACCGCGCGACTGCGCTATGCCCGAAAGGGTCTCCAACCACAGGTGAGGAATATCCTGGGTTCCCCCTATCCACGAAGACGGCAAACAGCAACCTGACTAGGTCTCTCAGTCAATTTCTTCATGTTAATATGCCACGTTATGGACTGGCCACCTCGAGGTCACGCCCAATTTGGTACAGCCACGGCATATAATACACGCCGAAGGAAACGGTCAACAGGCACCCAGAGGATATGACCTAGCCAAGGTATGCGGTTATGATTCAAATAGCATTGGAGGGAGACAACAGAGGGTTTCTTGCAAAAACCAGTAAGCGGACTTCAGCAATGCTCACCCGGTGTTCCTACATGTGTGCGATTCTCTGCAAACACCGACGGTCAAGTATGACCAAGCGTATTAATGTCTTCACTACGAACCGGCCAGGTCCCTGATCCATACAGCAACACTGGCCTTGTAGCAGCCGTATATACACCCTACCTTTCACTGACCGGTTGACATCTCGCCATCTCGATGGATAGTTGAGGCTCTGGAAATCCGTATGAACATTGCTGGTGCACGAAATAACATCCTCAGTGAAGTGACCATCAAAGGTGACACAGCTACCAAGGTAAGTGAACCGATCCACCACTTCCAGTGGTTGTTCTTTGAATGCTAGGATCAGATAAGTTCAGTCCTGCAACAGCACTTTGAAGGTGAAAACCACATGTCGAGGCATTGCGTGCAGCGCTACGCACGTCCATCCAGTAGGTGTTTGCGTCGTCCGCATACTCAGGGTTCGTCCGTTAGTCACCCGGTAGAATTTTCACAGCGAAGGGTCTAAAAAACAGCGGAGTCATTCGTGATCATTTTGATCACAAGTTTATAAGGGAGAGTTAAAACACCGTAAGTGATCCGAGTCCGACGGTTTCGATTACTGTGACTCGCGTCGCCACGATACTAACAGTTCACAACGATGGGAAAACGGGGGAAAACGCAAGGCTGGGGAAAAGTAAGCTAAGAAAATGGTAAACAAAACTAGTTGGATAGGGTATTTAGCGGTACGCGTCGGGTGAGTGGGTCGGGACACCCAATCTCAATACGGACCGAAACTGGTCACGATGTCTAAGGGGCTAAATGCAAGGGGGGTTGAGTAGAGAAGCGCCACGTCGGAGGAGGAAATCTCCGACTAATGGTAAACGAGCAGCCGCGGGACCATAGACTATCCCGCAATTCCCCCATCGAGGTCATCATAATGGTCATCAACAGCTTCAGATCAACCACTTGACATGATGCTTCGCTGCCATACAACCATGGTGACCAACAGAATGAAGAATGATATGGGGGAAATGGGTGACCTAGCGTAGAACCCTGTCCCCTAAGCAAACATTCCGGATCAAGGCGCTTACACCTAGTGTCACAAACAGCTGACTGTCGTGCGGCATCAACGAGACAGGTTCCTTGCAGTTTTCAGTGTCCTGCTTCATAGCCAGCCAGTACCCTGCAGATAACAGGTAGTTCGACTTGGAGACGACAGCAGACACACCTTTGGTGTCGACTGCGAGCCATGTCCACTAAGGTCGGGAGCCAAGCATAAGGCGGGTCATTTGGACTACAGAACGGACCACAATAAATGCACATTAAAGTGAGCGATCAATGGAAATACAAAGAACACGATATAGCTAATGCGTTTGGTTCAAACTGAACAGACACCGTTGCGGCACAAGATAGAGAAAGAAAATGGAATGAGCCAAAGTGGCCAAGACAAATGTTATCGACGTGAATCGGGGTTCACTCACTTCGAAGAGGTTGTGGCACCACCCCGTTCGTTCACAGCCTTATTGAACGCCTTGTCCATTTGATTGCGGAACAGGCTCATTCCGTCGAAGATGTCGTCGATGAACTGCACAAATCGGTTTCGGATAGACAAGAGGCCTTCGACAAAATGCGCGGGAGCGAGCTGCAAGTGAGAAGAATTGGGAAACAGTCACAATGTAGCCTGAAGAAGACGAAAGGAGAACACAATGAGTACTAGACTTTGGAACCGCTTTGTGTATCTGATCACTTGCAAACTAGCAGCATTAGGTATACTAATTGCTTTGAACACACGAGGATACTAACCAGCAGATTAGTGAGCCAGGGACAATGGTCATGGACTTCGAACACGTTTTTGGGGCGGCTACCAGCTGCTTTTGTGCGCAAAGAGTAGGAAGTCGCCGATCAAGAGTGAAGAATGATGTCTTGTTTAATAAAAAGCAGTGGTAGGGATTTCTTTCTGCTTTTGCTCAACCTCTTTACACTCTCTTTTAACAATGGAGTATGCCCTACTCAATGGACAACTTCTGTCATTATCCCGCAACATAAAATGGCGCTGCCCACGAGGGTAAAAACTTTCGTCCCATGAATCACACACCTATCGTAATTAGAATAATCGAAAGGATAGGGGAAGATGAACTATGTATATTCTTGAATCACGCTAACATTATCAGCAATTCGCAACACGGCTTCATGCAAGGTCGATTCTGCGCAACATACCAGACTGACTTTTTAAACCACACAACGGCTGCCATTGACAACGGAAACAGTGTCGTAATCCTGTTCCTGGATATGCAAAAAGCCTTTGATAGAGTGCCTCACAGAAGGTTACTAAACAAACTGAAGGCTATAGGCATTGGAGAACCGATGTTCCCTTGGCTGTCTTCATATCTAATTGGTAGACAACAGGTGGTGCGCATAGGTGACCATTTCTCTAAACCGAAAGCACTCATTAGTGGTGTGATTCAAGGGAGTGTTCTTGGCCTTCTTCTTTTTCTAATTTATATTAACGATATATTCCAGAGAATAAGAAATGGTGTTGCATTTATCTTTGCTGATGACATTAAAGTTGTCCACTCACAACTACGTGCAAATACTCAGGAAGCCGTAGGTCTCATTCAGGATGACCTATCTGCCCCTGACTCCTGGTGCCAACTGTGGCAGATGTCATTTGCCGTGGAAAAGTGTAATATTTTGTCGTACAAATGCCAAGTACCGCTAGACAGTTTATTACTACAAGGCGCATATATCTCGCAATGCAGAGCAGTTCGCGACTTGGGCTTGCGATATTCAGTCACGTTTAACTTTTCTGAACACTGTGACTTCCAAGTTTCGAAAGCCATGAAGAACATCGGTTATATCTGCCATCATTTTTACCTCACGGAATCTCGCATATTGCTTTACAAAACATATGTATTGCCGTGTATGGAATACTGTTCAATGGTACAGTCTAATCTGCGGAAATCTGACCAGCACGCTATTGAGAGGGTCCAGAGACGCTTCAGGAAATAGCTATGTGGATATTCCTCAAAGTTGACATACAGAGAGCGATGTGCTAAACTTGGGTTTGACCCAGTCTGGCTTCGGATAATGAAGCTAAACCTACCCTTTCTTTACAGAATCATAAATTGTCAAAGTTGCAGTCTTGAAAACGGTGTTCACATATCTTTAGACAGCAGCTATCCAATACGTAACAAAGAGGTAAAGGTCGTGATTCCAAAATTTAGTACGAGAATCAGAGAACGTTTGTTTCTAAGCCAATACTCAAAGATTTAGAACAAGATTCCAAGTGATATCAGAAAATGCTATTCACATTGTAATTTTAAACTTGCAATTAGCAAGCAGGTAAGCGTTCGAAACGTGATTAATATGTTCGGAAAATCACAGTCCCCAGACAATGCATTCGAAGATGGTATTCATGGTGTCTGAATAAATTTCCAAAACACATACACACAACATTTCGGACAACAGCCCCTTTCATTACATTTTTTCTCGGCCCAAATACCTGTCATGCGAATGGGAAGAATCCTGATTCAACGGCAGGAAAAAATAGCAGAACGATTCTGATTACTCTGTGTTACCTAATTTGCAATTGCGCCCATATTTATCTCTGAACATGTATTGATGAAATGTCATGGAAAAGTTGTACCATTATTTGACCTACTCCTTCTAGGGAACAGCTTCTCGCATCGTCGAGGAATATGCAATTTGTTTATTTATTATTCTCTAGAGTTTCTTGTCCTTTGGATTGTTGCGATTTGTTTTGGAACATGCTTTTTAACTCGCCTACCCAAGTGGCGATCTGTTCCCCCAAAGCAGAAATTTCGCATCTACAAACGAAGTGGTAAATGCGGCGCGCTGTGGGGGCGATATCGTCAGCATAATATAGGTGTGTAGCAATATTATCTGGAAGAATTACGCCAATAACTTTGGGGACCTTCCGGAGTCCTAACCGCCCCACTTGAATTTACAGCGGGACCTGTGACCGAAATAAACATGTGAGCTATCGCAGTTTATGATAAAATACCGGGAAAGTAACACCCAATTTCCATCTGGTTCGGCTACAGTCCCAATGATCGCACTGACTAAGGTTCACTTCAATATGAATCGCAGTCTATACTGAGACTGTACGTTGCAATCCATTAACACAACGAGTGACTCAAAATGACCTTGCAACCAGCCATTAAATCGTGGTGACAAGGCGTTGTTGCCGTGACCCGATAGCTAAAGGGGTAGAGATTTCGGCTACTATTCCAATGGTCCTGGGTTCGAGGCCTGCTATCTCCATCAAATGAGATGAAATAACATGGAAACGCGTCGTGGTTGTGCAGTGTTTTCGGGTGGGCAAGACCCAATTTCTATCTGTTTCGGCTACGATCCCAGTGATCTCCCTGACCAAGATACACTTGAATGTGAATCGCGGTCCACATTGAGATCGCGCGTTGCAATTCAACGAGTAATACAAAATGACGCTGTTAATACTCCACCAAGTACGCGCAGTTCACTTGATCTGACGAAGCTGAATCAAAATAAATTTGCTGACCGCCAAATTGATACGCAAATCCCAAATGGCTAATACCGATATCAGCCGTGGATCAATGAGTTCGGTTCACAACGGGTTGAAGTGCACTGAATTCAGATCAGAAGTAACAATCGATGACCTGACCGAATACAACGCCAAAGGTTAATGTGTAGGAGGTCAGATTGCAGTCGCAGTAAGATGGGTCGTAGGGTAATTGACCTCTGTCTGAACGACGTCAATAAATCTCGAAAGAATCTTGGTGCGAACCTGATGCACGCGTTCACGTAAGCGCCTGAAAACCGAAGTACCAAAACCATGATACGAAAGTTTCACAGGTATTGTAGGTGCGTGAGACAGGTGGCAAGAGCAGTGTTCTGTGACACAAAATAAACACGTTTCAACAGTTTGTGAGAACACCCATTCTGTACATGCCCACACCCGTAGTCAGTTGCGCACTTGGCTCGGAAAACGCTGTTCGCTTTTGGTTCGCAGTTTTAATGTTCGAACAAAGTTCCGTGACGCCGTCCGGCTTTGCGTTTTGCGGACACTGAACTTTAACTATGATTCCATCGGCCTGACCAATTTGTGCTGAAGATACCAAGCAATTGGTCGTCATTGAGCATAGATACTAGCGGAGTATTGCTCACGTCTGATGGGAACACTGGCTGACCAATGCTGAGGTGCGCCAATTGATTTTTGACAAGAAACCCTATGGTGTCTCACGCGTGTGTTTGCCAAGGTCATGCCTCCGTATGCCCGTTGACCGGCTTCTCTGTCGGCGTGCATTATTCGCCGTCGCCGTACTAAGCTGGGCGAAAGCGCAAACTGGCCACTCGATGACGCGTCATGGAGAGATGACAAAAGTGGTTAAAAGACTTGGTCAAGCTGGTGTACGCCGTCTTTGTGGATGGTGGCAGCGGCACGGCGCAGTCGCGCAGTCAGTGGCGTTCCTGCATTCGTTAATATCCCATTGCAACTAATTTTACTTAGTTCATCCTTAACCCAATTTTCTTAGTATTTTGTTCGCGTTCTACCCCAATTTTCTCATCATCATTGCTTACTGTTATCCTGGCGACGAAACCGTATCGGACGGATCCAGCGCACTTCAGTGCCCGGACAATAGACGTTTGGTAGAACTGTAGTGGACTGATCTTGTCATTAGAGTGATAGGAGATTGGTGTTTTGATCAGGTTCGAGGGTATCTAGCGTCAGTCAGTCAGACAGTTGTTCCCCATCTGAAAAGGTGCCGGATAGCGGTTCATTCTTAGCTGAGGATCATCAGTAGCGCGTACCAACCGGATCGTTGCCGAATTCGAATCCGTGATCTTACTCTTGCGAGTCAGCGACTTATGCAATTGAGCCATGGATAACAACAGCGGTGGACCGCCACGACTGATATCTAACTCCATAATAGCGCGGCTCATCTTCTACTATTATGCATGTCATGAATACGCAGAGGACAGGGAGGGCCCCAAGAGTTACGATTAGTTTTGCAACCTGCCACCGATTAAGGTGGAATGCAAGCTGGTTACTGAGTATTTGAGTAGTGGAGGACTTCTGGCCTAATTGATAAGATCCATCGGAACCAGACGAAAAAGTAGTCACGCTTTCCAAAAGATGTGGTAGCTGTCTGACTCGGTTAGGCTGCACCGAATGTTCATGCCATTCTACTTGTCTAGGTGGCTGCCGCGCCTCCAGTGAGCGAATCGCATGGTGCTTACTCTCTCTCTCTCTCTGGACAGGTTCTGAAGGCCGATTACACCAGACAGGTTGTCCGACACAGCTGAATCCCTAAGTCTGCAGTGTGATTGCCGATTGCTGTTAACCGGTGTCTCGACAGTCACAGCCCATATCCATCGGATACCTTTGTGAATGGATCTGGTTGCGCTTTCTCAACCTGTTCCACTTCTTGGCTGTACGCCTACTTGTGAGAGAGAGAGAGAGAGTATCAGCAGTACGCCGGCACACCGTATCGACGGTTCGCTGCTACACGACCACCCGCGGTCCCGAAGTCGTCCGCACATACTCGGATTCGAACCTGCGACTGCTGGGGAGTACAAGGCAGGCGTGCAAATAATATCGATCGCTGGCTATGCAAAGGATGCGATGGCGGTCCAATCCAAGGTTAAGGTAGAGTAACCCTTCTAATCTACTGGAACCTTTGATACCGCGATTGGCGATGTTAAGAAGGAAAACTCTAAGCGAGCAACCGAGGCGCCCATCGTCGTTACGGACCCAAGGCAGGGCAGGCGAGCCAAACTCGCCCGCGTAGATTGGGTCGAAGAGATAGCCAACCGGGTGAAGCGGTCAATGAACACAAGGATGACATTACTTGATTGGCCGTAATTTAAACCCTATGGAGTTTTCCATGTAAGCTTTAAATACCATACACAAAGTTTTGATCGTACATTCATAATGAAGGGTATGATTGACTAATACAACTCGGTTTCACTGCTCGTCTGATCCGGTCTTCTCTCTCTCTCCTCGCGTTCCGATTGATAATCAACCGTCAATTCGGGCAAAGGACGATCACTTCAGTCGGTCAGTAGGTATCGGTTTGTCAAGGCTAAACATAGGGAACCACCCATGTAACCATTAATGACTAAAGAAATTTGGGAATCGCTACATGAAGAAAACAGCTAGAAGATATTTAGAGCAAAATAATGACTGATGATGGGTGCACTATCTGAAATGGTATTCCAGTGGCGAAGAAAAACTGAAACGGATTTATCCTAGTGAATGCACGGAGGAAATTCCGAATTCCCGGGAAGTAGACAAAGATAGAAAATTAGAATATCAACCACGAAATGAACGTACATTAATGTCCTGTGGTTGATTGGCAATCGATTCGCGAATCAGATCCATGATGTGCTGTCCAAAACAGTGGGAGAGTTCAGCGCAGAGGTTACCGGGTGAAAGAAGTTGGAATAGGTTGTGCAGCCCTGTGAAATAAAGTGCACACTTAACTTTTCACTCTCGTGCTCAAATAAAGACAAAGGACTTCCGCGAGTTAGCTATAAAAGAAACAGCCGACCAACGTGACACACTGAGACACAATGACGTTGCTGCTAATGCTTGCCCACTGTGTCGACTACAAGATGGAAGGACAATTAGCTGTGGTAACCATAACTGCATTACTAGCAGAAATAATGCAGAGAAGGAAAAGTGGAATCATCTTACCGAGCTTGTCTTCCCGCGCCACAACATCGCGCACACTATCGTTCAGGAAAGGCAGGCGTGCAGCAACAATAATCTCCTGGAACAAACATTTGATCTTCTCAACTGACCATGGATAGTAACGCCTGGTTCGGTTCTCTTCTTCGGTGCGGAGTGCAAGAGCCTACGTGTTCACCATAGAAAGGAAAAGAGAGGCTGTGAAAGAAGCGTGCAGAAAGAAACTTCGCAAACGATATGGAAGTACGAAAAATGTTCCAGTTCAAATAAGATCCCAGTGATTGAACTTTATAGCAAAATGAACCGTGATCCAAATGCTGATTGTAGGCGGCACAACCCAAACACACACAGGGAGTATACCCAGAGAAGCGAGCACTGATAACCGTTGCCTGTCAAGTGGCGCTTTGGCATACAGCCTTAAGGATCATAAACCTGCCTTGTAATCCGAGGACGTGAGTTCGAGCATGGGGCGACCTTCGCAGTGTCTTTAGCCCAGGTGCGACTGTTGGTGGTTGTGCGGCAGCGAAACGTAAGCACTGGGTACTGACGTACTGCTGACACCTCTCTCTCTCTAAGTTATGAGATACGCTCCATTTAGAACAGAGCGATAGTCAACCTACAGGAATCTCAGAAGGCTTAGAAAAATTGCTGTAAATGGTCTGAAGTTACACCCTGGCTTGATCGTTCACCACCCTAACGCAAGTCGTTTACGGTCATTACCAGGCAACACACTTTAATAGACCATTTGGTGAAGACTCAATGATGGAAACCCACCACATGTTGACAAACAAAGCAGGTGATCAATCTAGACTCACACTGGTCGATGGTCAACTTCCTCCGGACTGGAGACACCAGCCACGTACGGTGTAGTCACGGATCCAATGCGCAGAACACTGACTATCACTGACTGAAGAGTAGGATACGGTTGCGAGGGCACTTGCTAAAGACTGCTGCTCCAACTTCAGTCACAGTGACCGCATTCGTTGGAGTTCGAATCTCGATCGATTAGGGTATGAACTGAGTGCCCAAAACCCCACAACGAGCTGAGCACTCTCCTTAGTCAGAGAAGTCGTACACGGAAACAGGTGACCGATTGAAGGATGCGTAGTATTCAGTGAACCTGTGCGACGCATGCGCAACACAGGAAGACATGCCAGTTTACTGATCAATGAATACTGAATACTGGTTCGAAGCAGCGAGTAGAGCTTTCTCTGTGTAGCTACATCATTCGTCGCTCTTGGACATTTACGCCTTGTTTATCGTTCCGCTCTCTATATTTTGCCTCTGCAAAGTGTTTGTATAGGAGCTTCTTAAATTCGGACAGAGTTCGCCTCTACTACCTGCTGCGGCAGGTCGTTCCAGATATTAACCACTCTACGTTCGAAACAGATTTGGTGAGCGACCCACTTCAACTTCGGTACGATAACTTTGTACCGGTGTCCTCGCGTGCAGCTTGGTGTGCGCAGATGAAGCAGTTGTCTCAACATGGGGTAATCACTCAAATGTAATATCCGGTGCGTCATGATGAAGTCAACCCTCAGCCGACGATAAGCTAGGGTGTACAGCCCTAGTTTCTTACATCGGTCTTCATATGGCATACCTCGTAAGTTGGGAATCAGCCTGGTGGCTACATGCTGCACCCGCTCAAGCTTTCCTACCTCGCCCAGCGTGATGGGACAATATGCGGGAGAGCCGTACTCTATCATTGGTCGTATTATCGAGACGAAGAGGCGAGTGACAATCTCTTCGGACCAAGTGCTGAAGCTGCGCCTGAGCGCCCAAAGCATCCGAAGGCTGTTTTGATACAGCCTATTCGTGTTGTCAATGGACTTTAGGTCGCAGCGTGAGAGCACACCGAGGTCGCGCACGAAAGACGCGGGATGCAGCGGTTGACCAGCCACTGTGTACGTTCGGCTGTGCTCACACTTACCCAACCTCATAAATTGCGACTTAGCAGGGTTGATCGGAAGGTTAACCTACGCAGACCATGTCGAGAGGCTGTCGAGATCCTGCTGAATTAAATCACAATCAATGGGTGTGCGGATTACTCTCCACACCTTCATGTCATCTGCGAACAACGCACAAGGTGATTGGAGTAGCTTAGGCACATCGTTTACATGAGTAAAGCGGAAAAGTGCGACGTCACCAGTTTGAAACTGGCAGTGAAGCAGACAGCTTGATCAGAGTACTGCGTGTGTGTGTGTGTGTGTGTCACAGAAGTAACCGGTTTGACCGAGCGAGACGGTGTGACTGGTGACTAGCTCCGGTTAACCTCCATGTGCGGCAATCAGGGGGCAGTAGAAAAGAAATGATGAGGGTAACCAAAACAAAAATATTATTATGATTTCTTTTATATCATGCATTAACAACGAGATCGTGGTCGGCTGGGATGCGAAGCGGAATAGGAGTAGAGAAACGCATAACACGAATGATACTGAGATTGGTTCTTCACCATTTCAACAACTACGTACAGTCAAACGTGTCCATCGTCTTTCGGGAGTTGAGAGGCGCCAATCGCGCATAACCAAGCAGATAGAACTTTCACTCATCTTGACCAAGTCATCAGTTGACATCTACTTTTCTTACATTCATATGCCGGTTACGCGGAGTTCAGTTCAGTTACCGCTTACTCAACCCGGATGTCCATCCCCTTTAAAAAGCATCCAGAACTTCTGGCTTCACCAGCTGGCAACTGATTATGCACTCACATTGTCATCACAGGCAACCAGTTACCGATGGAGAGGCTGCATCTACAGCTGTCGCTCGATTTGGAGCACATGTGTGGATACCGACCATGCACTTTTATGTGCTACCCTGCGGATGCGTTCTGGCGGACGCCCATGACGACGCTGTGAGCGCATTGACATCAGTCAACTGGCGAAGCCAGCTGTTCTGAATGCCTATCAAAATCCGCTTACATGTGAGTTGAGTAAGCGCTCGCTGGAGACAATTGAATCTCACTGGTCTCATATTCACCAGTCCTTAGTAGCAGCAGGCAAATCCTCATGTGGTAAGTCTAATAGCCAACATGGACATTGGGTCTCTTCGTGGTCTCTGGAACTTATCGATGCTCGCCGGCATATTCCGGCTGGAAGCGAACACAATGAAACTCGCAAAGAGCTTTGGGAAAACTCCGTGCTAGCCTGAAGAGAGACCGCGAATCCTGGTGGTCTCTTCGTGCGTCAGAGATGGAAGTAGCCGCTGCCCTTGGTAACCATCTAAAGTTATTTGGTCCGATACGGGAAACAGGCAGCAGGAGACCTGGTGTTAGTGAAACTATACGTGACGAGAGTGGACAGCCTATCCACAATTTGTCAAAACGTTCGGAGCGTTGGGCTGAGCATTTTGAAAAGCAATGTAATCCGCCGGAATTGTTCAATACCTCACCGGCCAGTGATCGCCCTTCTCCTTGGGCTGTCCGTTTGGATCCACCCTCTCGCTCAGAAGTCAAACGTGAGTTCGGACTGTTGGAGTTGAATAAAGCCGCCGGAGCAGATGATCTTCCTTCAGCCCTCTTCAAATTTGAGGGCTCTGCTCTTGTGGATGATTTATACGAATTACTAGTGAAACCGTGGGAGCAGGAAACAGTCTCAACTGACTGCAACCGCTGCGTTATTGTTCAAAGGAGGCTCGCGTTCAGAATGCGGCAACCATAGAGGAATCAGTCTGATCCCCACTGTCACAAAATTACTTGCCTATGTCATTCTTCACAGATTGACTGGCACTCGTGAAAGCCAGATTCGTGAGGGGCAAGTCGGGTTTCGTTGGAGTCGTGGCTGCATCGATAACATCTTCACGTTGCGTCAAATACTGAAGCACCGTCACATATATTGGCGACCCACCGTAGTCCCGTTCCTCAACATCAAAGGTGCCTTCGATTCGGCTGATCGATGTGCTCTTTGGAAGTGTCTACCCAGGAAAGGTGTGCCCGAGAAATATGTAAATATTATCCAAGCATTATACGCGCGTAGCACGGACAGAGTGAGGGCTTACGGCAAGCTGTCGCCACCCTTCAATATCTCCAGCGGTGTGAGACAAGGATGCCTGTTGTCACCTTTCCTCTTCAACTTCGTTATTGACGAAGTAATAGAGATTGCACTTACAGGACACAACTTAGAAGGTGTGGAGCTACTCCCAAGAGAACGACTTCTTGACTTAGAATATGCTGATGATATTGCCCTCATCTGTGACGGCTCCCAGACGTGCCAAGCGGCACTGGACAGATTAGCACTGGCTGTCCGTTAACTCGAGTTTTGCTTTGCACCATCGAAGTGCAAAGCGTTCCCCCAAGATTGGCAGGGATCGCCTCCTACGCTGACCCTTGGTGGGGATCAGCTAGAAGTCGTTCGGAAATTCAACTACCTGGGAAGTTGTATCACCGCCCTTGAGATCGAAGACGAGATCACGAACCGTATAACAAAAGCTCGAAGTACTTTTGCTAGTTTTCGCCACGTATGACGGAGGCGCGACACCACTCTTGCCTTGAAAGGTAGAGTGTACAATGCAGCGGTACGTTCGACCTTACTGTACGGCCGCGAAACCTGGTCCCTTAGATCAGTAGACGTAAAGAGGCTAGTTATGTTCGACCATCGGTGTTTTCGCAGTTTGGCTCACATCTGGTGGGAACACCGCGTGAGCAACTAGCTTGTTCGACACCTTGTTTATGACACAGGAAGAGGAAATGGTCCGCTCAGCACCGTCATTTCACGCACTAGGCTCCGATGGCTCGGCTACATGTTGCGCATGCCAACCCACCGACTCCCGCGATGTGCATTGTTTGCTCACCGGGGTGTGGATGGAAGAAGAGGAGGGGTGGCCAAGCAATGACTTGGTCAAGAGGAATGAGGGCTCGCACTTCGGAGCTGGCCTCGGTTGGAGCGTCGCAGATTCTTGGTTGGTGACCAAAAGACGATGAACACGTTTGGTTGGATACACTTGCTGATATGGCTGGGAGCCGACCTCAGTAGCGTTCCTGCTGTGAGTTTCTTTGTCCTGCCCCCTCCACTCACGATCTCATTTCGTAGCATAATATAATTTTACATCATAATTTTGCTTGTTGCCTAGTAGACGGATGGTAGCTTTCCGGAACGATGCCCTTCCATTGTTGATAGCTCAGCTGGCATGTAATTGTTGTATTTATTTTCTTTTATGTATTGCGGCACAGTA